ACACACACACACACACACACACACACACACACACACACACACACACAATATGAAACAAGACAGAAGGGTTAAATTTCTAATAATTTTGGACTGGCTTTTTCCTAAATATATGCCTTAAAGTGACATTTTACTGTATTGTCATGTTCTGTATGAGGAGTCCGAGCCATAGATGGGAGTGCACACATGATAGTAATCCTGCATCTAGTGACATCGTTCTTTGCTTGAGTATACTCTATGATATTTATCTAATGATAAAGTCACTTAGTAGGCATTTCTAGAAACATATCATCATGAAGTGAGGTATGGCTGTACTTACACAGTGAGATCTAGAATTCATTATGACTATATGCTATTATAAGATTTTGATTTATCTTCTGAATTCTGAAGTTTATTGAATTGTTTTATTATATTTTAACATTTTACTCATTAAGTAATTGTGACTATATGTGAAATTGTTACTGTCTTATTTTAATTTAATCATATTTAAGATATTATTCATTGCTAAACCTTTTTAAAGACTGTAAGAGTACGTAATTCTACTGACTGCTTTATTGTATTTGAACACTGTTGTACTATCTGACATGGATGTGAAAGTCAGATCTTAGCGCCCATATTTAAAAACAAAGAAATTACTTTACACCCAACGAAATCTTCATTTGTAATTTTTAACACTTTAAAAAATTGTAATGGGGATATTATTTGTAAGCTGAACTTCATAAAATTTTTGAAAATTTACATTTGTTAAAAGAGTAGACTCATTTAAACAGATAAATGGTGAGAAGTAGAAAACATCTTCCTGAATGAGGTATCCCCGAAGCAGAAAGACACATATGGTATATACTCATTTATAAGTCGATATTAGATATATAATATAGGATAAACATACTAAAATCTGTACACTTAAAGAAGATAAGCAAGAAGGAGGACTCTGGATTAGATGATCAGTTCTCACTCAGAATGGAAAGCAGGATAGACATTGGAAGAGTGAGAAAACAAGGAACAGAAGAGGAACATACCACAGAGGGCCTCTGAAAGACTATACCCAGCAGAGAATCCAAGCAGATGCTGAGACTCATAGTCAAACTTTGGGCAGAGTGCAGGGAATTTTATGAAAGAAAGGGGAGATAGAAATACCTGGAGAGGACAGGAGCTCCATAAGGAGAGCAACAGAACCAAAAAAATATGGGTACAGGGGCCTTTTCCGAGACTGATAATCCAATCACGGACCATGCATGGAGATAACCTAGAACTCCTGCACAGATGTAGACCATGGCAGCTCAGTATCCAAATGTATGCCCTACTAAGGGGAACAAGGACTGTGTCTGACATGAACTCAGTGGCTGACTCTTTGATCACCTCTTCCTAAGGAGGTAACAGCCTTAGGAGGCTACAGAGGAAGACAATGCAGCTAGCCCTGATGAGACCTGATAGGCTAGAGTCAGATGGCAGGGGAGGAGGACCTCCCCTATCAGTGAACTAGGGGAGAGGCATGGGAACAGAAGAGGGAGTTAAGGTTGGATTAGAAGGGGATGAGGGAGGGTGTTACAAAGTGAATAAATTGTAACAAATAACAAATAAAAATAAAATATGAAAAGAATTTGTAATGGGTGTTTTATTTGTATGTTGAACTTCATAAATTTTTTGAAAATTTATATTTTTTAACAGGTTTGACACATTTAGTTTCTTTATTTATTGTTCTGTTTGACCTATGAATTTCTCTTATCTGACTGGCATTTTTTTTTTTTGTTTTGTTTTCTTTTGGTTTTAATAGAACATTCAAATAAAAACTTTGGCAGATGATGTGGTAAGGTGTAATGACCGGCATGTTATTGCACTGCTTATGCATGTTACATTTTTATTAAAGAAGTGGACATTAAAGCATTGGTATATGCAAAATAAAGTGACTGCATGCTTAGAAAATGAGAGAGACTATGATAATTGCAAATAGAGTAATTTCCCATTTTCCCATATTAATGCAAATAATTGCAGCCAGGCACAATGGTCCAGACCTGTAATTTGAACACTCAAAACACTGAAGAAGGAAGATTGCTGCAAGTTAGAGGTCAGCCTGGTATACATAGAGTGTTCTAGGTTAACCATGGGTATGTAGTGCCCCACCACAACTCAATAAAAAGAAACAACTGCCCCAAACTTACCTAAAGAGTTGTGTAAGATCTCAGCTAAATTTTATCTGTATAATGTACAACAAACAATATTTTAAAATTTGGTACATTTCTACAGAGCCTAGAAAACAAGTGAATATGTTAAATACCAATATAAGTGGAAATTATTTACAAAACAAATATGTGCTATTGAATGTTAAAAGTTTACATATTGTCAGGCTCAGACTGCCATAGTAATTGTTATTAAAAGTTACAAGCTAAGATTTAAATGCATCCTTTATACTTAGATATTTTTGCATTAAAATAAAGGGTATATAAAGATCAAATATGTGTGCTAGTAATGCTGATACTCAGTACACAAGCTTGGACTATATAAGCATTTTTAAGTGATGTGAAGTGAGTGGAGAAGAGATATATTAATTTAATGGCCAATTGCATATTTAAATGCTTTCACGTCCACCATATTTTTAAGTAAATTTAGACTCAGTTTATTTGGGATTACTAAAATTGTTTTTCTTGAGTTGTGTGAGAAGATTACCTATCTAAACAAACCTAACTTCCTTCAAAGAGTTAAAACAAAATTTAATAATAGAGTTCAAATAATTTTAAAGAAATAATCGTAATATAAAAACTGAGATCAGAACCAGGAATTCATGTATTTAAGTGAATCGCCTATTCCGTGAATTGAGAAAATTGGTTTAGATCCCATTTCATTTTTCTCTCCAGCTCTAGAATACTGTGATTTCTATAATCTCTCTGTAAGCAACCATGTATTCAAATAATTTTTGTAATCCCAACTAAGCTGCTTAAAATTGCTTTCTTCAAAGTACATGTTATGTTTTTAAAAAACACGTATTATTTCAATCAATAAAATAAAGAATATGTTCTTTTAGGGGGCTCAGAAAAATTGTACATAAACTGTAATAATGTTTTTAATATTTCTGTATTAAGGCTATTTAAAAGGAAGGTGGTGACATGGCAGTGTGCATTCACTGTCCTCATAGCTAACATGTTTATGCTTGCTTAATGTGACCTGATAATATTGCATGTGCTTCCTAACAGATACCAATGTAAAACTGAGTTGCCTTCAGTTTTATGAATCTTACTAATGTTTGATGTTAAATATTTGGTGGTTTTCAGGTCAGATGGCCTGTTGACATGCAGCTAAAGTCCTTGACCCACTTGATATGAAAGAGCAAGCTAACTGTTAAAGATTGTACATGGTATCAATGATTTAAAAGAAGCACCTATAAAGTAGTGAGTTTATCACAATAATATTTGGAGGAAGAATATATTTCTCTGTACATTTCTAACGAATGCAATAAGTGCTTCAGCTTTGTTTCAATTCTTATTCGTGCCAAGTATTTGGCAGAGAAAACGTTGAAGAATAGCATCAACAAAAAACAAGTGTATTCAGTTCTCATAGTGACCCTGTAGTGTAGAGAAGAGGAAACAGTGAGAGAGGTGACTTTCCTTCCCCACTGATTCTGAGATAGTAATTTTTCAGTTTGTGTTTGAACTCACTGTGTCTGTCTTTAGACTCCATACTATTCTGTTTAGTCAACTGCTACACTGACAGTTATATATATATATATATATATATATATATATATATATATATATGCTTGTCACAATTTTTACAGTACTCTGAAGAAAAACATTACCCTAAATCTCCATTTGAGTTAGTTATCAGTAGCTCTGTTTCCTTTCTCTCTTTTCGTACCATAGCACTGAAGCTGGCACCAAAGACTCATTCTCCCAGAAACAGCCACCAAAATATTTTGATCTAAAGTGTCTCTTCACTTACTTCCTGTGCAAAGCAGAAATGACAAGTGGCTAAATTTTACTTTTGAAGAATGTTTTCTCACTTCTAGACTTCTTAAGCTTAAAAACTATTTCAAGGTTGCAAAATGGTCCAATCTCTAACTGGAGCTTGCTGCTTAAAATAACATTTTGTCAAGAGACAATAATAATATATATTATACTAAGTGGCATTTTGATGCTTTCATTCTTAATGTTTATAGCTCCTGATTCTTTTCTTAGTTCTTTCCTCCCCCTCTCTGTTTGCAGCGTGACCGAATTACAAGTTTTAGAAAATCTACTGTCAAAAAAGAAAAACCTCTTATTCAACATCCTATTGATTCTCAAGCCATGATGAGTGAGTTTCCAGCAGCTCAGCCATTATATGATGAACGATCTCTGAATTTGTCTGAAAAGGAAGTTCTGGACCTCTTTGAGAAAATGATGGTGAGTTCCACCTCTAATTTCATTGTCATTTTAAACTCTGTGTGTTCAGAAAAACACTGCATTTTAAATACAGATGTTTATTGGATCTTTTTATGTCATATAAATGAGAGACTTAAACCCTGTTAAAAAACAGAAGTATTTCCAAGAATATCTAGATTTGTTTGTTTATTTATTTGCTATAATGCCTGTTTTAGTCAGTGTCTAAAATTGGCGACAGATTTATTTTTTTGTCCTTTATTATTTTGTAGTTTGTAGCGTACCAAATCAACTTCAAATAACTAATTTGTTTGCTTGCTGGTCCAAAGCAAAGTGCGCCTAAGTCTACAAGGTCTATTCAGTAAATGAAATACAGTTTAGAACTCAGAGTGTAAAATGAACAATAAAATAGTAATTGCAACCAAGGAATTAAGTCATTTAGTTTTTTTTATATTAGTAAGTCATACAATGCACATTTGTAGCATGTTTCTTATATATTTATTTATTTTTTGGTGCAGCCTAAATTACTTCTAAAATAATAAATATAACATATGGATTATTCAACACATTTTTTTTTCTGAAAAAGGGAGAAATGAAACATTGAGCATCTCAAATTGGTGAGCTTGAAGAGATCTCTTTTAGAGATCCCAAAACATGGTTTGTTAATTTAGCATTCTTATTTTATGTGCATTAGTGTAACGGTATCAGATCCCTTGGAATGGGTATTACAGACAGTTTTGAGCTGCTATGTGGTTGCTCGGAATTGACCCCGGATTCTTTGGAAGAGCACATAGTGCTCTCAATCACTGAGCCACCTCTCCAGCCCCATACATTTTATATAAAGAATTCAGTCCTTGAGGCACTCCTGTCCTCTCCTATTCATACTAACTCTCCCTTTTATCATATGATTCCCTGCACTCTACCAAAGATTTGGTTATGAGGCTCAGCATCTGCTTTGATACGTTGTTAGGTAGAGTCTTTCAGAGGTCCTCCATATGATCTGTTGTTGTACAGGATATTTTTGGAAATTCTGGGTTTCTTGTTTCTCCATATGAAATTGAGAATTTTTCTTACAATGTCCGTAAAGAATTGTATTGGTATTTGATGGGAATTGCATTGAATCTATAGATTGCTTTTGGCAGGATGGCCATTTTCAGTATGTTAGTCCTACCAATCCATGAGCACAGGAGATCTTGCCGTCTTCTGATATCTTCTTCAAATTTCTTTCTTCAGAGACTTGAAGTTTTTTTCATACAGGTCTTTCACCTATTTGGTTAGAGTTGCACCAAGGTACTTAATGTTAATGGTGGCTACTGTGAAGGATGTTGTTTCCCTAATTTCTTTCACAGCCCTGTTGTCTTTCATATACAGGGCTACTGATTTTTTTGAGTTAATTTTGTATCCAGCCACTTTGCTGAAGGTGTTTGTCAACTGAAGGAGTTCTCTGGTTGAATTTTTGGGGGGTCTCATGTATACTATCATATCATCTGCAAATAGTGATACTTTGACTTTCCAATTTGTATTCCCTTGATCTTCTTTAGTTGTCTTATAGCTCTAGCTAAGACTTCAAGTACTATGTTGAAGAGATTTGGAAAGAGTGGGCAGCCTTGCCTTGTCCCTGATTTCAGTGTTATTGTTCTTAGTTTCTTGCCATGTAGGTTGATGTTGGCTGTAGGGTTACTGCATATTGCCTTTACTATGTTTATGTACGTGTTTTGTGTCCCTGATCCGTCTAAGACTTAAAACCTGACTGGGTGTTGGATATTGTCCAATGTTTTTTCGGCCTCTAAGGATATGATCATGTGTTTATTTTTTTCTTTCAGTTTTTTTATATGGTGGATTGCATTGATGGACTTGAACCACCCATGTATATCTCTGATGAAGCCTACTTGGTTATTGTGGATGATCTCTTGTATGTTTTCTTGGAATTGTTTTGCGAGTATTTTATTGAGTGTATTTGTAACAATGTCATAAGACAGATAGGTCTGAAGTTCTCTTTTTTTGGGGGGGGGTCTTTGTGTGGTTTAGGTATCAAGGCATGGCCTCATTGAATGAGGTTGGTAATATTCCTTGTGTTTCTCTTTTGAGGAATAGTTTGAATAGATTTGGATTTAGCTCTTCTTTGAAGGACTGGTAGAATTCTGCGCTGAAAACATCTGGCCCTGGAATTTTTTGGATGGGAGACTTTTGATGATTGCTTCTATACCCTTGCGGGATTTAGGACTATTTAATTTATTTACCTGATCTTGATTTAATTTTGGTAAATCTTATCTATCAAGAAAATTGTCCATTTCATTTTCAAATTTTGTGTCATATGGGCTTTTGTAGTAAGAAGTAATGTTTGTTTGGATTTCCTCAATGTCTGTTATGTCCTCTTTATTTTGATTTTGTATTGGTCATTCTGGTACTAGCTTACATTGCTTAGTATGATTCGGGAGAAAATATTTTCATATTTGCTTCCTACCTCATGTCAAAATTATATAAATATTTTATTGTATTTGTTTTTCATGTGATTTTGAGATAATCTTGTTCTATAGCGCAGACTAGTCGGGAACTCATCATGTACCTGAGATTGACCCTCTGCATCTTCTAGAGTGCACTTAGTATGCACTTAGTTGTGCACCTTAGTGTGCACTGTGGTTTAAAATACTTCCTGCAATGGCTGTTTGACTTTTCCACATGTAAGTTTGTGATATTCTTCACATTACTGGTATTTTTAGAAAGTATCTTATTAACTACTGTTTATTTTGGCAGTATTTTCAAATTGTTATAAAAATAGTTAAATTGTTCTATTCAGGCTCAAAGAAAAATTATCTATCTATCTGTATTCAAACAATCTAGCCAATAATACTATTAGCTATTTTATAAAACAGCCATATTAATCTAGCTATATGGTGAATCTCCCACACTCAAGTCTTTTTCCTAATACCTGCTTTAGCACATTTTTTTTGCAATGATGTCTAAGTGTCTTCTCCCAGTGTTTGCTGACACGAAAGACTTTTTTTTTTCAATTTTTGTTTTGTTTTACAGGTATTACTTCATCAGCTTCTATAAAGTGTTTCCTAGATGCTGTGGGGCCTTTTGTTTCTTGCTATTAAAGAAAATTCTAAATGGGCTCATAAACATGTATCATTAATTGTATATACTCTCACTAAGATACAGGATTGAGATTATATGATTCTAATTATTGTTAATAAAACTGAAATCTTCATCTTCATGCTATGGCTGGTAGGATGTAAATAGCCTCCTTATTTGAGGAGGATTTTTACTCCCATTGTCTAATATTTTAAAATGTAGTGTACACATAAAATGAGGGTCATCAGCATGATAAATATGTAAGCATATTTCAAATGATTTCTTTAATCATTTCCATATTGTGGAGACAGCTCATTAGAGCCAGATTTTTGTCATTTTTACTATGTGATAATGAATGAAAGACCCAGAGTTACAAATAAGAGATATAACAGTCACCCCTTTTCTTATTCCCTTCTGCTTGCATTATTTGTATTATCCTATTATCCTCAATATGTTGTCTTTATAGGAATCACTTAGAATTCTATTTCCATTTTTTTGAGTGCTTATTTGGTTAAAACTACATAAAATAACCAGTAAATATACCTAGCATTAACTGTAGTATGTTGCGGTACACAGAAGGTGAATAAATATTCATTGCAAATATCCCACTGCTCTGTTAAGTCACTTTATGTATCACTTTAACCTATGGCTCCAAGGAGGACTCTATCGATCTTGAATCAAAAGAGAATACAACCAAACTCAAACTTACCAACCAACTAAACAACCTTGAAAATAATTAATTTAATTAATAAATATAAATGCATAAATTATATATAAACAAACATAAACTACTAATTTTAAAACATACAAAATGAATAAAGTATAATTAATAAAAAATAAAAAAAGTTAAAAAAATAAAAAAACCAAAAAACATAAAGCATTAAATATAATTATATTCATTGTTGATAGTAGTGTATTTTAGGTATTAGGGTGCTATTAAATCCTTTTTCTTAAAGGTGCATATCTCCCTAGCTTAGAGGTAGAGGAAAGAGAGAAAAACAGAGAGTGATGAGAAAGAATGAATGTTTCAATGAAATAATATTCAGCTGTTACTCCTTCTAAGATTCTCATCTGATTATTCTTATATAGTTTCTCCTTAATTACTTTAGTGATACAGTGTTGAGATTATAGATATAAGCCAGTGTTGTAGCATGTGCTAAAATTGTTTGAGGCTCTGGGTTCAAGCCCCAGTACCAAAATAAGTAAATGAATTAAATAAAACCAAGAACAAATCAAATAATATTTGACGAAGTAAAAGAATGTGTCTAGAAAGAGATAACTGTATGAGATGTGAAAACAGGAAAAGGATGTGGTTTACAATTATAACTTAATTGAAAACTATTTTAAGTTTGGTTAATTATTCATCATTTTTTAATACATTCCTCATATATTGTGGATACATTAAACAAGAATGAAATATGCTTAAAACTACCTTTGCCTTATTTTCTATTGAAAGAACTCGGTTTAAAGTAGTTTCATATTCAGTTATGTTGTTTAAATACTGAGTTATAAGTATAGTTATATTTACTTTTGTTATTTTATTATAAAGCTGAAGTTAATGATTTGGAAGTATCAGCTGCATAACTAGTGGTATGTTTTTTATTTCAGTAAAAATGAAATGAGTCATTACAAACTCTTCTGTTCATATGTAATGGGACCCATTCCTAACCAAAATAGGCAGCCATTTCATAAGTGAAAAAATTGGTGATGATTCTAAGGTAACTTACAGTATTTAAAGAAAGGCAAATGGTGGGATCTAGAAAAGATCATCCTGAGTGAGGTATCCCAGAAACAGAAAGACACACATGGTATATACTCACATGTTGGATATTAGACATATAATATAGGTTAAACATACTAAAATCTGTATGCCCAAAGAAGCTAAGCAAGAAGGAGTACCCTGGGTAAGATGATTAATCCTCACTCAGAAAGGCAAATGAGATGGACACTGGAAGAAGGAGAAAACAGGAAACAGGACAGGAGCCTACCACAGTGGGCCTCTGAAAGACTCTACCTAACATTGTATCAAAGCAGATGTTGAGGCTCACAGTAAAAATTTGGGCAGAGTGCAGGGAATCTTATGAAAGAGGAGGGATAGAAAAACCTGGAGGGGATAGGAGCTCCACAAGGAGAGCAACAGAACCAAGAAATCTGGGCACAGGACTCTTTTCTGAGACTGATGCTCCAACCAAGGACCTTGCATGGAGATAAACTAGAACCGCAGCTCAGATGTAACCCATGGCAGCTCAGTCTTCAAGTGGGTGCCCTAGTAAGGGGAACAGGGACTGTCTCTGACGTGAACTCAGTGGCTGGCTCTTTGATCACCTCTCCCTGAGTGGGCAGGAGACTTGCCAGGCCACGGAGGAAGACATTGCAATCAGTCCTGATGAAACCTGATAGGCTAAGATTAGATGGAAAGGAACGAGGACCTCCCCTATCAGTGGACTTGGAGAGGGGCATGGGAGGATATGAGGGAGGAAGGGTGGGATTGGTGGGGGGAGAATGAGGGAGAGAGCTACAGCTGGGATATAAGTGAATAAACTGTAATTAACATAAAAATAAAAATTTAAATTAAAAACTTTAAGTTCCCAAATTTTTGCTCCATAAAAGCAAGAATCAAGGCTCAAAAATTATTCAGTATGTGTTCTCTGTATTCCAGGGACCAGGGTCTTTCTTTGCAAGGATTATAGAGCTAAATTCTTGCCTTCAGTTATCTTAGAACAGTGTTTCTCAACCTTTAGGTTCTGAATGAGAGTTGTGTATCAGATATCCTGCATTTGAGATATTTATATTATCATTCATAACAATAGCAAATTTACATTATTGAAGTAACAGTGAAAATAACATTGTGGTTTGGGGTTACCATAACATGAGGCAATTTATTAAATTTTCTTAGCATTGGGAAGATTGAGAACCACTGCCTTAGAGTTTTATGGAGATAGTTCTAGGACAGGGTATTAATATAAATAAGTTTAATATGGAAGAACAGGATGAGGTTTTCCATTTCTGAATGGTGGAAATTCTTGTAGAAAGCTTATTTAGATGAGCATTGTTTTAAAGTGTATGAATTGGCTGGATGTGGATTTAGTGGGAGGCAGCCTCTCACAGATAGAGAAGTGGCAGAGAGAATAGCATATGTACAAATAGTAGGAAAGTATGAAAGCATATTACATTTAACAGTCACCACATCATAAAATCAAATTTCAAGATGAAAGAGAAACCTCGAAATATTTGAAAGTGGGAGAGATAGATGTTATCTGAACATAAATTGTAGCTGGTATGGATATTTTAGCCTGAGAAAATGCAGACTTCAAAAAATATTTGCATGGTTCTTAAATTTATTTTCCTCAGTCTAGCTACCATCCTCTTTGACAGTTAACAATATTTGCTTAAATGCTTCAGTATCTGACATTTCTGAGCATGAGAATAATAATACGTATTCTGGATTTTTAAATGTAGATTAAGTATTAGAATATTTTAGTTTGCTCTTCAATCAGGAGAGTTTCAATAACGGGCTCCAGATGGCATTATAGGAATTGCTTGCACAGCCAGGTAGTTAAATATAGTCTGATTAAGGAGCTGTTGCCCCTCTAGAACCAATTGGTCTAAGTAAAAAAATATGTGGCTGCTGCCATCAGTTGCTTATCTATATCATCTCTGTTGCTCCACCACACACTTCCACTCCACACACCAGCAATGTGGATGGCATGTTCAAGGCCTGTTTATTCATATAGTTTATTTCTGAGTCTATACCTTTTATAACAGCATTTTATTGGTAAAGACTAAGCCACATGTCTATAATTAAATTATATGTAAGGGAAGTAGGCAAATGCAGTTTTTATCTACTCATTTTTTTTTAAAGTGAAACTGACAATGTGAGGATACATTAAACTGCAGAAAGCATGTTTAAATTACATCAGGCAGCCAAAAATGACAGTTGACCACTGGAATATTTTAAGTAGTCTCCTTGCTGTTAGGTTTTGCTCATTCTTTATAACTCAAATCCAGGCTAAATCTTTACTGACCTTATCGTATGTCCTGTTTTCAAAGGATCTTATACATATCTCCATTAAAATTATTAGAACCTCTTAGATAATGAATTATTCATGTTTGTTTAGTCAACAAACTTATGTAGCATTTACTAAGGGTCAGGCATTGCTTCATAAATAATAGCATTTAATTTGAATATAAAAACAGTTTCTCAACTTTACAGTCTTAACAGTCTAGCACAGTTCTGGAAGTATAGTATATACCCAATAAATAGGTGATTCCAATTTTAGAATTAAAAAAGGCATAAAAGGTCACAATCTTTCAACTTTAATATAAATATAAATACTATAGTATTTATATTTTCCTGTATATATTTCATGTCCACTTCTATAAGGAAAAAAACTTAGCAATAAATAAGGTGCTCACAGATGGGGAGGTAGTGAGAGAGTTCTCTGTCAGCTAAACTAGTAGGAGGGGAATATTTGATAGGAGTAAAGGGATTCACAAGAACTGACTTAGGGATAAGAAGTGGCAGAGGAAGGATAACATGGTAAAGTCTATTTTATACATGCGTGAAGTATCACAATGAAGCATTTGTATAGTTGATACAGGTTTTACATATATATGTATGAACAAAAATTACAAATCCATAAGCAGGGACGTTTTTCATTCACTAACAAAATAAGCTTAGCTGTTCCTTTGAAAGTTAAAAAAACCTGCACTCTGTCCAAAGTTTGGCTCTGAGTCTCTGTGCAGGAAACCTAATGGAAGAAGAAGGAGATAGGAAGACCTAGAAGGGACAAGAACCCTACAAAGATACCAATAGAGCCAAAATGCCTGGGTCCAGTGGCCCCTGCAGAGACAATACTACAACCAAGTACCATACATGAAGAGAACCTAGACTCCCTGCTCAGGTGAAGCCCATGATCTGCTCAGTTTCCAAGTGGGTTCCCTAGTTAAGGGAACAGGGGCTGTCTCTGACATGAACTCAGTGGTCAACTCTTTGATCATCTCTCCCTGGGGGGGTGCAGCCTTGCCAGGCCACAGAGGAAGGTGATGCAGCCAGTCCTGATGAGACTTGATAGGGTAGGGTCAGATAGAAGGGGAGGAGGACCTTAGGAGTAGGGAGGGTGGGTGGGAATGGGAATAGATGGAGGGGCTACAAGCTGGGATACAAAGTGAATAAATGCAATCAATCAATCAATCAATCAATCAAAAAAGTTAGAAAAAACTTCAGTTCTTTAAGTTCTTGCCTCAGTGCAGTCATATCACTACTTTAGGAAATTATATATATATGTACTTTTATATATTTAGAATATGTATTAGAATATCAAGCACACTACTGAGCTATATATATTCAGCTATATTTCTTCTTTTTTTTTTCTTTATAATATATATCAACTTTCGGAAACTTTTTCTTTAGTGAATATGTATATGTGTATGCATATCCTGTTAAATTTGTTTGTTATATTGGTTTTCATGGATAACAGTGGTCCTTGGGAGCATGGGTCAAAGAGTAATTGTGTGTGTGCATGTCTGCATGTGAGTGTGTGTGTGTGTGTGTTTGCTATAGAGGTAAATGAATATCTTTTCCAGGACTTCATATTATATATCTGTTTTAAACCACTGAAGTGTTTTATAGCCTAAAAATGTTTTTTTTGTTTGTTTTTTTTAGCTAGGTAAATTATAAATCACAAATACGTGTGAAATATATACAAAATTATGATATCTAAATTGTTGATAGTGAATTATCCAAAAAATAAATTTGTTGTTAAATATTAATTACATTAATCACTTTTGAAGCACTTAATTAGTAATTCATCCATTCTCACAGTAAATGTCTTTTCTTAAAGGAGGATATGAATCTTAATGAAGAAAAGAAGGCTCCTTTGCGAAACAAGGATTTTTCTACCAAGCGTGAGATGGTTGTCCAATATATTTCTGCTACTGCCAAATCTGTAAGTAAGGATGCTTTCCAGGCATCAACAGAATGAGGTTAGCTGTTTGCTTGAAATTAAAAAAAAACGTAGCTCTTTAAATTCTTTCCTCAGTGTACTTATATTACCAATTTAGGGAACGATATTTATGTATCTATGCATCTGTGTATCTATCTATATGCACTTTTACGTATTTTGCATATCTATCTCAGTACTGAACTATTCATTAGACAGGAGAGACCCATTATTATAAACACGAGGTCAATATGGAAGTCTCTTTACAGAATTCATTAAATTTGAGTGCAGAGGTTTTATGCACTTAATAAAACTTGGCAGTGTTTTACTAGTATTCATTAACTATATAGATTGTTACATGAAATTTTCAGACTATAAGTGAGAAAACAGAACAGCTACCTTTAATTAAGTTTACATTGAAGCGTGTAATTTTTTGGAATGTTATTCATATTTAGTTTTGTTTTGAATAAAAACTGTGTAAGCTGCCTTATAATACGTGTGGTAAAGCTCACCTTAATGTAAAAGAAAGCACACACCAGGAACTTTAGTCAAGTTTGTATGAATTTCAAAACCTAAATGTATGAATTCATTGAAAGAATTTGTCGGGGGGGGGGGGGCCAAGATGGCGGCTCCAGGAGAACACTGTGTCCAAGAAGCGGGACAACACTCTCCGTGCAGCGACCAGGAGACTGAACTCTGGGTCCTAAAACTACAGCGATCGTGTTTCCCAGGTGAGGGGAGGCTCCCACAGTGTGGGAATCGGCCAGGTCCACTCTTGGGCTGTCCAGCCAGAACCCGGAAGAAATCCCGGGTAACGGGGGATTTGGATCTCTGCGCTGGAGCCACAAGCCTACGTGTCCCGATCACTTTTCCAGGCTGATTGGTGGGCACAAGGGTGCCAGAGACTGAGAGTCCCAGTCGCAAGAAAACCCCATGGGGAAGGGAAGTTGCTAGACTGATCACGGGTCACCCAGTCTTTCCTTGGAAGGTCTCACTGACCTCGGGTACCTGCCGCCAGCACAACTGAGCTCCCGCCGCACGCAGAGAGAGGCTGCGTGCCCAGCTCAAAATTCCTACTCCCTCTTCGGAGGAGGCAGGAGGCGTCCAGCAGAATCTGCCACAGATCACATTGTCTGTACCCCAACCCTAGATCGGGTCTGAGAAAACCCAATCCTTTCGGGCACTCCCCGAAACGCCGCCATAACCCTGCCATGGCAGAGCAGAAGGATAAAGAGGCTCACAGCAGCTTCACAGTGCCAGGACCCCAGTACTGCCGGCTGCTCCTAGCAAAAAAAAAACTTCAGCTCGGGATCTGGGACTGTGGTCATTCAACACATTCTGAGACTCTCCTGGGTCCAGCAAAATAAGGTCTAGCACCAAGTCCTATCACCGGCGCCACCCCCCCAACCCCTGGCAGAGAAAAAAACCCGGCTCAGGATCGGACTGAGAAGTCCCAACCACTTGTGGCACTCCCCTGAGAGCACCACCACAAGCTTGCCATAGCGGAGGGGAAGGTCAGAGAGGATGGACAGAGAGGCAGCCTGCCACAGGTCACAGCACCCCCTCTCCAGCATACCCAGTGGCCCCTAGCAGAGAAACCCAAACTCTGGATCTGAGGACAGTCAACCCTACCGGGTACTCTCTCGGGATCAGCAAACATAGGTTCTACAGCCAGGCTGCTTCTGGCAGAGAGATCTGGGCCCGGGATCTGGGATTGAGAACACTCAACCTAGCTCTTTACTGTGCTACCCCGGGACCAGTGAACATAACCCCTCCTGGCAGAGGGAAAGGACAGAGAGGCAGCACACAGGAAAGGTTTGACACTGAGTCTTGCGGCCACAGTGTCACAGAGCTGACTGTTAGCCTACCCGCACATTTTCCGCAGCAGTACCAAATCAGAGAGTAGAGAGCAAGGGGAACCCCTGTGCATTCCAACTGATCCTGCAAGAGAGTGAGTGAGCCTTCTAGGGAGAGTTTGCCACAGACTCAGGGCCTCTCCACAGAAGCAACCAGACGAGATCCCTGCCACCCACACCCCTAGTGTGGGCATCATAGGGATTCTTGGGATAGCAACCCCAACGTTGAAGCCTCTGCCTTGTGGGTCCACCAGTGTAATCCAGGCAAGTAATCCCTGGATCTCAGAGAGAACTGCATAATAGTGGCCTGTAGGCCACTGCAATAGTCACAGAACATGCGCATGCACACTGCACCCCCTAAAAGCTCATGGGAATAGCACCAGCATCACGTTCCTTACTTAGGCAAAACTGAAACCACAACGCATACTCCCAAACCACTGAACCTCTCTCATCTTTTTGAAAAAACAGTCCAGAAAACAGAAAGAGAAGATCATAGCCCGAACTACAAACTCGAGGAAAAAACAGTGAGGGTTATAAATAACCAGATGGCTAGAGGCAGACGTAAGAACACTCCCAACAAAAATCAGGACATAATGACCTCACCAGCAACCCCACAAAACAATGGACACTTCAATTCACTAGATATATAAGAAATCGACCTCAAAACTATGTTTCTCCAGCTATTAGAGGCCCATAAAAATGAAATGAACAAAGCCCTCAGAGAAATATCCAAAGAAATCGAGACGAACCAAGAAGAAACAAATCGAGCTCTCAGAGAAATGACCTCGAAAATTGAGGCAAACAAAGAAGAAATGCACAAAGCTCTCAAAGAAATGTCCACACAAATAAAGGCAAATAAAGAAGAAATAAACAAAGCTCTCATAGAAATACAGGCAATTATAGCCAAAGAAGTAGAGGCACAATTAGTGATACATAGAGAGGAAACGGAAAAAAAAAATAGAAGCTATCATTGAAAAGCAGGACTCCACATTCAAACAGATAAAGAAAAGGTGCAAGAAATGAAAACAGAATTAGAATCAATAAAGAAAACACAAATAGAGAAAAACCAGGAGCAGGAGAACATAGAGAAAAGATCGGGAACAACAAACGTAAGCATCACCAACAGAATACAAGAGACGGAAGAAAGAATCTCAGGAGCTGAAGATACACTTGCAGGAATTGACATGTCTCTTAAAGAAAAAATAAAATCAGAAAAGTTCCAAACACAAAACATCCAAGAAATCAAGGATACCATGAAAAGAAAAAATTTAAGAATAATAGGAATAGGAGAAAAAGAAGACATCAGGCTCAAAGGTCCGGAAAATATTTTCAAGAAAATTATAGAAGAAAACTTTCCCAACTTAAAGAATGAGATGTCCTACAGAACACCAAGTAGACTAGACCAGAAAAGAAATTCCTCACGTCACATCATAGTCAAAACACTGAACCTATAGAAAAAAGAAAAAAATTCTAAAAGCAGCAAGGGAAAAAGGCCAAGTAAGATATGAGGGTAGACCTATCAGAATCACACCAGATTTCTCAACAGAAACTATGAAAGCCAGAAGGGCCTAGACAGAAATCATACGGGACCACAGATTCCAACCCAGACTACTATACCCAGCAAAACTTTCAATCAACATAGACGGAGAATTCAAAATTTTCCATGACAAAACCAAATTTAAACAATATCTATATAGTAACCCAGCTCTACAGAAGTTACTAGAAGGGAAACTGCAAACCAAAGAAAACAACTACATCTAAGGAAACAGAGGAAATAGATAACTACACAACAAAAAAAAAATTAAAAGAATACAATAAAAAAAACTCAATAACACCACTAACACCACATCAAAAGTAAGCAACAATTCTTGGTCAATAGTATCTATCAACATCAACGGACTCAACTCCCCAATAAAAGTACACAGACTAACAGAATGGTTGCGGAAACAGGATCCAACATTCTGTTGCATCCAAGAAACACACCTATGCAACAAAGATAAACACTACCTCAGAGTAAAGGGCTGGAAAAATGTTTTTCAAGCAAATGGTTCCAGAAAACAAGCTGGAGTAGCCATTCTAATATCTAATAAAATAGACTTTCAACCCAAGTTAATCAAAAAAGATAAGGAGGGCCACTATATTCTCATCAAAGGAAAAATCCACCAAGAGGACATCACAATTTTGAATATCTATGCCCCAAATACAAGAGCACCTACATTCGTAAATAAAACAATTTAGTATTGAAGGGAGACTTCAATACTTCACTCTCTCCAAGGGACAGATCAACTAGACAGAAAATAAATAAGGAAATAAAAACACTTACAGAGTCCCTAAATCAAATCGACCTAATAGACGTCTACAGATCTTTTCATTCAAACTCAAAAGAGTATACCTTCTTTCAGCACCACATGGAACCTTCTCCAAAATAGACCATTTAGTTGGTCATAAAGAAAGCCTCAACAGATACAAAAAGATTGAAATAATCCCTTGTATTATATCTGACCACCATGGACTTAAACTGGACGTCAACAACAACAGAAATAACAAACTGCCTACACGCAGATGGAAACTGAACAACTTGTTACTCAACGACAGCTGGGTTAAGGAAGAAATAAAGAAAGAAATTAAAGACTTCCTAGAATTCAATGAAAATGAAGGCACAACATACCCAAATTTATGGGACACATTGAAAGCAGTGCTCAGGGGAAAATTTATAGCACTAAGTGCCTACAAGAAGAAATCCGTAACATCACATACAAACAACTTAATGGCCCAACTGAAAACCCTAGAATTAAAAGAAGCAGATACACCCAAGAGGAGCAGAAGGCTGGAAATAATCAAACTCAGGGCTGAAATCAATCAGTTAGAAACAAATAAATTATTCAAAGAATCAATGAAACAAAAAGCTGGTTCTTTGAGAAAATCAACAAGATAGACAAACCCTTAGCCAAACTAACTTAAAAGCAGAGAGTATCTATCCAAATCAGCAAAATCAGAAATGAAAAGTGTGAGATAAATATGCCACAAAATTTGAACACCTAAATGAAATGGACAATTTTCTTGATAGATTCCATCTTCCAACATTAAGTCAAGATCTGGTAGAAAGACTGAATAGCCCTATATCCCCCAAGGAAATTGAAGCAGTCATTC